GAAATATAATTTTAAAATAATAGCATTATTCACAGTAGCAAATGAGACTAAAAAGCACCTTGAAATAATTCTTTAAAGAAGTGTTACAATCTCCAAGGCTTTATGGATAGATATTGTGACTCGGGCCTGTGTGTCAGCTTTCAGAAGACTGAGGTAGGGGCCACTGCAAGCTCAAGTTCAGAAGCAGTGCACCGTGAGTCCAAAGCTAGCCAGAGCCACGTGGTGAGACACTGTCTCAAACAGACAGACAGGGAAAAAACAAGACAAAAAACAAGACAAAAAAAAAAACAAAAAAAACTATAGTTCATATTTAGAGTGATTCATCCCCTCCAAAAGATGTTAACTCTTTTTAGTGTATAAATTCAATGGACTTCAAGCTCATATCTTCAATCTGTCTGAGTATAATAACCTGATTTAAACTCACATGGAAACCTTAAAGAGCTAGGAGAGTGAAGACACTGTGAAGGCAAGGGCCGGAGAGCTGGGTGTAGGCTCATGCTCAATGGACTCGAGTTGATTATAAAGCAAGACAGAGTGGCGTTGGACAGTGATATACAAGAAACACCTCAGAGGCCAAGCCAGACCTGCAGGAGCAGACCCTTCTCTAGCCCTTCAGATCCACCTGTCCACAGTGCTCAGCTGAGAGGCAGAGACTATAGATGACATACAGGAGTGCGATTCAGACCTGTGGGTCTCTGAGGCAAGAATTTTAGGGTGACTAAGATAAAATTAGAAGCCCCAACTTCCAAAAAGAAACATCTAAATAAAAAACAATAACAAAAATATTCTTAATACTTCTTTTAAAAATAGGAAATGAGCTGTGGTGGTGCACACCTTTAATCCCAGCACTGGGGAGGCAGAGGCAGGTGGAGCTCAGAGAGTTCGAGGCCAGCCTGGTCTACAGAGCTAATTCCAGGACAGCCAGGGCTACACAGAGAAACCCTGTCAAAAAAGTTAAAAAAAAAAAAAAAAAAAAAAGAGTAAATGATCTCGGGATAGGAGACTGTTTGTGAAAAAATAAAACACAACATAAAGCACAAAGCATGAAGGAAGAGACTGCCAAGGCTGACATTTGAGATACATATATTTAATTTAGCACACATTTTGAAAGAATGTGAAACAACACAGTGTGAGAGGCTTGGCTTGGTGAGGCTTCTTTCGGCTGTATTATAGATGGTATAACTCAACCACAAGAAATCCTTAGGAGGAGAGGCATCAATATATGTGTTTTCAACTACCCTGTTGTGGCACTACCTCAAATCTTACAGCAAGGTCAAGTGAATGATGTCAGAGCCACACCACGATTTTGGGTGACAGCAGGGTAATTCATCAATGGCAGCTCCCGTCCGTCCCTGGGCCTGCTCTCCAAGGCCCACTCTGGGATCACTTGTTTTCTTGGTAATTTCAGATTGCTAAATAACGTGCACATGTTTCTATCTCTCTGTTTGTCCCTAGTGACTTGGTTTTCCCACTGTGTCCCCTGCTCAGTTTGTGGAACGGCAGCCATTCTAGGGATAACACATTGGGATTTTAAGCTGTGCTTAAGGAATCCATAAACAAAGTGAAACCGTTTCCAAAAAGGACACAGAAGAGAGCTATTTTTGTCATGGATATAACTATCAAATGATTAAAATCCAGAATATATTGAAATCACTTTAAATAAGCTGTCATCTATCTATCATCTATTATTTATCTAGCTATCATTATTTATCTGTCATCTATCTGTGGTGGATACAGGGATATGTGGATGTCAGAGAACAACTTGTGGGAGTTGATTCTCTCCTTTTACCATGTGGTCCCAAGAACTTAAGTTGTCAAGCTTGGTACAAGTACCCTTCTGCACTAAGATATCCCTTTGGTCTTTAAATAATCATTTTTAAAGCAAACACCTAGTATAAATAATAAGCAATGGATGTAAACGGCAATTTACCGAAGAGGAAACTCTACTGAGAACAATAAGCACATGAAAAGACCGTGTCTTGGTAGTGATTAGGTTACTGCAAAGTTCTCACTTCTCCACCAGCAGGGTTCTGGTAAACGTGCAAATTATTCTGGTGGACAATTTGGCACTATCTCTTAAGACTGGAGGTGCAGCTGTTCTTGGGTTCTGTTGCTTGGAGTGCTAGACCTAGGAACTAGGAGACAAAAACAGTCATTTGTTAGGAGCGGTTTTCACCCCGACAGGTCTGGTCCCACCGCCGCACCAGCCCCATTAACACTCAGAGACTCTGTATTAGATACAAAGCTGTTGGCCAGTTCCTAGTTTCTTATTGGCTAGCTCTGTCTTAATTATTAACCCATTTCTATTAATCCAAGTACTTCCACGTGGTCTTATTTTACTGGAGAGAGGGGCTGGCGTTCTTCTCTCTCCGTCCTCCATCTTGGCTCTCCTTCCTCCTACTTCCTCTCTCCTAGTCTTGCTTTTCTATCTTGCTTTCCTATTGGCCAACAGTGCTTTATTCATTAACCAATACGAGAAACATATTTACAGAATGACATCTCCCATCAGTCATTATAGTCAGTTTTCAATGACAAAAATTTGTCAGCAACCTAGCTTTCACCAGCAGGAGTACCGAGTGGCGATTCAATTGCAACTTACATGTCAAGATGCATGGATCTGCAAACAGAAAACTGTCTAAAGCAGGTTGTAGAATGCTGTGTAGGGTGTTGTATCATTTTCCTCCCTCTGGAAAACTATCTGTGTGTTCATTGCACATCTCTAAGTGTACACTAGCAGTATAAAATACATGTGAAGCAATAACAGATTCAAGATTAGGGATTGTTCAAAGGGATGAACACAGAGGCAGGGAAATTATAGTAAGGAAGGGAACACGGGACTTAATATTTCCTTTCAATTAAAAAACATGTGACTTGTTGGGTGATGGTGCATGCCTTTAATCCCAGCATTTGGGAGGCAGAGGCAGGAGGATCTCTGAGTTCGAGGCCAGCCTATTCTACAAAGCTACACTGAGAAAAACCCTGTCTCAAAAAACCAAAAACCAAACAAACAAAAACAATCAGACAAAGGCCCCATCTGATTTAAATGTAGAAAAATGTTAAGCATATCATAAAGCTATATGATAAGTATACTAATGTTCATTTTAGAATGCTCTCATTTTTTATAAACTAAACAGGTTTGGCCAGAATTAAGAAAATCCTAGACTCTATCAAATGCAGTTAAGTAGGTAACCATACAGCAACAGTTTCCTCTGTCTTCATCCTGATGAAAGTTTTTTTTTTTTTTTTTTTTTTTTTTCCATGATGGCCGTTGGAAATCGCTAGCTCTGGGCCTGAGCAAGTGGTGTATACTCCCTGAGCCTTCATTTCCCCCCACATATTAGCTGACAAGAATAACCCTCCACAGAGCCATTAGAAGGTGGAATAGCTTAGCCTGGTGCATATCGTAGATAGTCTGTGCTTGACCATTCCTTCGTTCCTCTAGTCTATGTGCACCGAGTCTCTGCTGTAACCCTGATACTGATGGGCACAGAATGAAGACAGGGAGATCTTTAAAAAATCCCCCGTTACTCTTTCTCACCCGCAGCCCCTCCCCCAGTTTTCCTCTATATTTACCCTCCCCTGTGGCCATGATACCCTGGCACTGGACTGCTTTTTGCATTTTAAAGGACACAGTAGCCCTTACTAAGTCAGGGTCTTGATGCCTCCTTATAACCAGAGAACCACAGTGTGGCTGTAGGCAGGGGACAAGAGTTCTACCACAGCTCAACAAAAAGAAGCTTTGTAGAGCTATTGAAAATTAGCAGACCCATTGGGTGTGTTGATGGTTTCTAAGGGACTGCCTGGACAAACACTACTAGGCAAGGCAATTTTCATCATCCAGGTTTTCCATTCTAACTTATCAGTTCATGGATGTTTCATTCCATCCATGTTGACTTGGACCAACATCGTAGCAATAAAACAATTCCTTCAGTATGAATGTTTTCAGTTCTGATGATATCCTTTTAACTCTTTTTTTCTGTAGCTGGGTGGATCAGTCATTGTATAAGTCTTGACATAACAAATAACCATTTATTAGGCATCTGATGTATACATGCATATCTCATTCTGCAATGTAAGCTCCACTGTCTTCCTTTCAGAGAACATCACACTGCATAATAATTCAACAGCAACTTCAATAGCAGATGGACCTGAGCAGTTCTGCCAGTTAACTGTGTGACTTTGCATGTTTCCGTGACTCCAGAGTGTCATTTTTCCCTTTGTAACAAACTACTATTTATCTCATGTGGCTGAGATGTAGATTATACACAATAACCTAACAGAGTGGTTGCCCCAGAGTACCCACTCACTGTACATATAACTTTGTTTTTCTTATTTAAAATGATTAAGCTGGGTAGGCTGAAACACAGAGATTGAAATGCCATCTGTGCTGGGTGGTTTTAGACCCTGGGGACTGTTGAGCACAGACACTGGTACATGGGACAGTCTTTAACATGGCTGCTCGCTTTCCTTTTTAAGGAATTATCTACATTCAAAATGAAGAACACTCCTTGAAATCTCAAATCTTGTTCACCTGGTTTCCTAAAAACCTTGTGCTAAATGAGCCTCAAAAACATTTAGGGAACTAATTCTGTTATTGCAAATTTACCATTCCTGTTCTGTTCCTGGGTTATAGCAGGGACATCGGTAGACACCCGTGAACTAGAAGGCACATTCCCTGCCATGGGCATACTTAAAGGGTGTGCGATAGAAACAATGCAAACGAGTGCCGGTGTGCCAAACTCTGGGCAGAGTGAGGACTGCTGAGGCAAGGATGGGCTCAGGCACATTTGGAGGGGCTCAGCGTGTGCCCCTTTTTATGGTGACGCATGTACAGAGAGGGGCTATGGGGATATGGCAAAGAGCAGGCAGTTCTAGCCGTAGGGAGAGGAGTGAGCTCCCGAGCGCGTGGCTGGAGGAAACAGTGGCGTGCCTGTGGGCCAGATGGAGGGGAACCCACAAAGTGCTCTGACTCCCTTTCCCGTTTGCTCCATTTTCACCAGGGTCTTTCCACCTAATTCACTTGATGTTTGATGACTACGTGCTCTATTTACTAGAGTCGCTGCATTGTCAGGAGCGGGCCAACGAGCTCATGCGGGCCATGAAGGGAGAAGGAAGCAGCACTGGTAAGCCGCACCCTCCATGGCCATGTCAGGGTCTAGCGCTCTGACTAATAGACTCTCCTCTTCTGTTTCCTTAATCCCACATACCAAAGAATCAGTACCATTCCTCTTGAGAGTGTGCACCCGTGTGTGTGTGTGTGTGTGTGTGTGTGTGTGTGTGTGTGTGTAAACCATTGAAGGGTTTAAGCATGGAGTGACCAATATAACACAGATTTCCTTCTGGGGGGGGTTCTTTGAAGGCCCTTGACCTTGGCATCTAAGAACTTACCTTTTCTCTGTTTGTAGCGGAAGTCCAGGAAGAGGTCATCTTGACCGAGGCTACCCCACCCACCCCTTCACCAGTACCATCATTTTCTCCAGCAAAATCTGCCACATCTGTGGAGGTGCCACCTCCATCCTCCCCTGCCAGCAACCCATCCCCCGAGTACACTGGCCTTAGCACAACAGGTAAGGGGAGGGTCTCCAAAGTGCTGGGTGGGGAGATGTTGAAAGCAAGAAATTTCTGGAAAACAGTCTTCCTCAAAAGACAAAGAGAAATACTAAGACTTGGAAATCCTTTTGGATTTGTGGAAGGTTTACAGGTCTCAAATTACTCATTAATACATCTTCCATATGTTGCTGCTTTCAGTTGGCTTTAAACACATGATGAATATCATTACTCCCCAAAGTAGGCTGCTGCATTTATTAATATGTTACAAGAAACGTGAGGCCAGGCCCGAGCACTGTCCCTGGAAGGTGGACAGTCAGGAGGCCATGTGAAACCATAGTAACACTGAGTGAAGCAGCAGCTGTGAACAGAGTTGGTCTTAGACCACCCTTGGGCCACCCAGGACATGACTGGTAAAGCTAATGCTCCTAGAAGGCTGTTGTGATGGGAACCACAGCACAAGGCCCACACCAGTCTCACACGCCAACCCACACCCAAGACTCGCCCAAGCCTAGGTAGTCAATCATCCATATCTAAAACAACTGAAAGAACCCCAAATAGATACTTGTATATCAGTTTTCATAAAAGTATAATTGTCAAAGGGTGGAAAGAACCCATGTATGTTCTTTGCCCATTGAGGAGTGAATGGATAGAAACGTGGTATATTATAGGATATGATTTAGCCTTGAATTTAGAAGAAATGGCATTCTATAACATTATAATATGAATGAATCTTGAAAGTATTATGCTACGTGAAATGAGCTAAACATTAAAGGACAAATGTCACACTCCTATTTACAGGGACCCTAAAGTGTCAAATTCATAGAGTAAATAGAAGATAGAGGCAGGGGACAGGGGGACATGGGGACAGAGTTTCAGTCTGGGCAGATCAGAAACTTTGGAGATGGACGGTGATGGTGGACATGGGACCCAACAAATGTCCAAATGCAACTAAGCTGAAAAGTGTTTATTTGATAGATTTTAGGTTAAGGTGCTTTCACACACACACACACACACACACACACGCACGCACGCACGCACGCACGCACGCATCACCATAGCATTGCTGATCCACGGGAGAGCAGCATGGCACAGTGGGAAGAAGGAGTTATACAGAGTCAGAGATCGCCAAAGAAACACACAGCTGTTGAAAGAGATATTTCAACAGACAGGCTGAAACAAAAACAAAATACAAGTGAAAGAGAATCAAAAGAATGAGCTAAGAGAGTCTCTGATAGTACAACCAATGCAAAGAGACAACCCTTAAGTTAAAGCTATGCTAACCATTCAGGAAGTACAGCGTGTTGTTACTGTTCTGAGACAGCGTCTCGCTGTGCAGCCCTGGCTGACCTGGTCAGCCTCAAATTTGTGGTGAATCTACTTCCTTTGCCTGAGTGCTAGGATTGCAGGTGAGTGAGTCCAGACCAATGCTCACATTTTAAATAAGTGTTTCAAGAAAGGATAGGGCATGGCAACTCACACGTGTAATCTCAGAATTCAGGAGGCTGTAAGACGGGTAGATTTCTAAGTGTTTGAAGCCATGCTGTGCCTATGGGATGGGTGGGATGGGGCAATAGAGTAAGCTCTTATCTAAACAATAAAAAAAAATCAATAAATAAATAAATAATAAAATAAAGCAAGGAAAGGACAGGGAGGAAGTGTGAAATGGAAGAAAGAAAGAAAGCTCAGAAGGAAGGAAAAGAGAGAGGGAGGGAGGGAGGGAAGGAGGGAGGAAGGGAGGGAGGGAGGGAGGGAGGGAGGGAGGGAGGGAGGAAAGGACAGAGAACACTAGTAGTTTAATGGTTTTACAGACCGGAGATAAGACTTAGGGTAACAATGTCCTTTCCTTGACTCCTGAGGTGATTAAATGGGGGTGGTATGAAAGTCATCTCTAAACTTACTGAATAAAATCAAAGAGATGATATCAGTTCAAAAGAGAACAGATAACCACCAAAGGAGACTCAGCTCGACGCCAGACTTCTCATCAGCAACATTAGATTCAGTATCTGGTGCACTGTTTAACATGCATTGAAAATATTCCTATTTCATAGCTTGTGTGTGGAGAGAGGTAGTGGTACATGGATACATATATATTTGTAACATGCCAAGTCCTATGCTGAGTGCTGTGTATGATTTGAATATTATTACGCCAAAGCCTTGCTACCAAAAGCCCACACAGGCATAAGAGAAATAAAGACAATCATAGAAAATGGCATAGTAAAGGTATGAATTACTGCTACAGGGCTTTCAAGGAAGGGAAGTCCGTGCTTGGAGGTATCAGGAGAGACCTTACAGAGGGGTGGCGGGTTGGGTTAGGTGCTGTGTCACCCTGATTATCACCAAGCTTTAAGTCTCCCTTTTTCCTCACTCCTTTTGTTAGATGGCCTTGGTGCTGTGTAGTATTTAAGGAGTTATTACAGCAGAAACCCACTTGTTGCGTGCACGAGCTTTGGTAGGGAACCGTATCACAAGGAAAGCATTTTAAATGCAGCCATTTGGAAGTGTCCATTCTCCCAGACCAGCAGTGCTGCACAGTTCAGCACACAAGCTCATGGGCAGTGCCTGCAGACACAGGCTTGGAAACTGAGGGAATCCAGCTGAACCAACCTTCAGACAGGTCGTTATGACACTCGTGGGGAGGGGACTAACAGAGGAAAAAACATTTTTGCAAAACATATAAGTGCTGTTCATGGCTCCAGCATTCACGGGTTCTTCCTATACTGGAGTGTTGTGTCAGCTGCCAAGAGCCACTTCCCTGAACCATGCTGCTGACAATTCCATCACCGAGGCAAGCAGTCACTCATGGCCATCCTGTCTTGCATACCAAACAGTGTGATCAGTGTGAAAGGCTTCCTCCCAGCATGGCACATCTCACCAAGAAGTGGTTGGGAACCGGGAAGGTATGAGGCTTGTGCAGGGAAGCCTAATAGGAGCATCTCAGACTCATCCTGCCAGTAAGTTTGCTTGGCTTTCTTTATATGATTTGAAGGCCTCAAGCTTGGGGCTGGTGTGATGATGACCAAGGCCACGGGAATATCATAAAAGTGTTGACAGATTTCTGTGCAACGTACTGCAGGTCATAAAAGTCCCTTCTTTGGAATACAAATGTGAAACAGGCTCTCTTCAGATGCCTGTAGGCTTTGAAGATTCTGGCACATTCCGGCTTTGTTCTCAGGTATCTCGAGAGGGCATTAAAACGTCATCCTACATAAGAATATCTATGTTAATTTTCTCTAGTACCATTTCTGAAACACTCCATGGATCAGGTCTGGATCCAGAGTCTGGATCTTCACATATAATGTGCCATGGTCTGAGAGGAAACACACATAATTTCCTAAGAAGCTGCATGGTTTTATGTATTTGCTGTAAATATACTATTTTTATAGAGTCCTTAACTTTGAGGTCTTTGGCATACTTTCAGTGAATAATATAATAACTTAGAAAATGATTATATAAATCTAAGAAAACATACCCATCATGCTCTTTTAAAAAGTTAACTCAGGCCAGGCTATGATGGCACACACCTTTAATCCCAGCACTCGGGAGGCAGAGGCATATGAGTTCAAAGCCAGCCTGGTCTAAAAGAGCTAGTTCCAGGACAGCTTCCAAAGCCACAGAGAAACCCTGTCTCAAAAAACAAAAAAAAAAAAAAAAAAAGTTAACTGTTTATGAGTTTAATGCCCAGTTAGTTTTATTAAATTGCTGTTTTATATTCTGTCTACTTTCCAAAATGCTAAAAACTAAAATTACATTTATTTGTGTATGTGTGTGCATATGTGCATGTGTGTCTGCAAGTGTATGTATATGTGTGTATACACATGTGCATGTGTATGTGTGTGCACTTGTGCTTGTGTGAGTATGTTTGTGTACATATGTCCATGTGTGGGTATGTGTGTGTATATATGCATGTGTGTGTGCGAGTGTGAGTATGTGTGTGTGCACATGTGCATGTGTATGTGTGTGCACTTGTGTGTGTGTATGTGTGTACACTTGTGCATGTGTGAGTATGTGTGTATGCATGTGTGAGCATGTGTGTATGCATGTGTGAGCATGTGTGTATGCATGTGTGAGTATGTGTGTGTGTGTGTGTACTTGTGCATGTGTGAGTATGTGTGTGTGTGTACTTGTGCATGTGTGAGTATGTGTGTGTGTGTACTTGTGCATGTGTATGTGTGTGCACTTGTGTATGTATATGTGTGTACACTTGTGCATGTGTGAGCATGTGTGTATGCATGTGTGAGTATGTGTGTGTGTGTGTGTACTTGTGCATGTGTGAGCATGTGTGTATGCATGTGTGAGTATGTGTGTGTGTGTGTACTTGTGCATGTGTGAGCATGTGTGTATGCATGTGTGAGTATGTGTGTGTGTGTGTACTTGTGCATGTGTGAGCATGTGTGTATGCATGTGTGAGTATGTGTGTGTGTGTGTGTGTGTACTTGTGCATGTGTGAGTATGTGTATGGGTGCACTTGTGGAGGTCAGAGAAAAACTTGTATAGTTGATTCTTTCTTCCTAACATGTGTTTCAGGGATTAAATTCAGGCCATCAAGTTTAGTGGCCTTTCCCACTGAGCCATGTTGCTAGGCTCAAACCAAAACTTCTTTTAGGAACCCAGGGTAGAGGCTGAGGATGTAGCTTAGTTGGTAAAATGCTTGTTTAGCATTCATGAAGTCTTGGGTTCAATTCCTAGCAGTGCATAAACTTGGAGTGTTGGTGCGCCTCTGTAATTACAGATCTCAGGAGGTGGAGGCAAGACCAGAAGCTCAAGTATCGTTGAGCAAATGATGTAGTATCAGGTGTGACTTAAGAGTCAAGGTCAGTCAGATACTTTTCAAAGCAATGCCTCCTATTGGATGGACAAATCTTCGCTGTAAACTATGAAAAAAGGGGCAGTTATCATGTCTGTTCATTGAACTCACAGTATTAGTCAATGGCATATGACCTCGTGGTAGCCTTTGATGCAAGGGAAGGCTGGGCATCACAGAGGGTGAGTTACAACTTTCCAGGAGAACAGTTTCTCT